TAGATTTTAGGATATTTTCGCAGAATATATATTCTACCACCCATAGACAAAAGGAAAAAACTGGAAGATGAATTCTACGAATGGTGGATTATAGTAGTTACGGTAGAATATATATTCCGAAAATTGGTAGAATATAGAACAAACATTAGAACGTGTACTCTACCAAATCAATTAAATCGTAGAATATAGAGTAATGAGTAGAACCTATATTCTACGAGTGCGTAGATATATCAATAATCCGTAGAACCTATATTCTAATTACAGTAGACTCAGATCAATTTGTGGAATATATATTCTACTACCCCGTAGACGGTAGAATTTGATTTCTGGAAAAGGTAGAATAGAAAATTATTTTCAATTCTAACCATATTTTTAAAATAAAAAAAATATAATTATATTCTCTCCAGTGACTCTTTTATTGTTTTGAATTTTTCTAATTTTTTTGCTGTTAAAACTATTTTAATGATTTATTAGAAATGTCCAAAGGGCAAATTAGATAAAAATAGAGAAAGGGGTAGTAGGACAAAATCAAATCAAATTTGACCCATTTACACAATTTTCCTTTTTTAATTTGTAACGGAAGATGATGTAGCAGATGAGATCAACAAACTTTAATAAACTGATTGATTTCACTTATTTAAAATTAATTTTAAACCAAATGGAAACGTTTTTTTATGGCTGCCAAATGTATGGCAAGGAAAATTGTGGATTCTTAGGTGAAAAACTATTAGTATTATTTATGGATGGCTAAAAATAACAATGACAGAAGCACGAGAGAAGTTTCAAAAGATATATTCTATAAACATATTGGACAAAAATGATGAACAACTGCTTTGAATATCTTTGAGTATGAAACATTGACTCAATGAATGTAAATCTTAGCATTCTCCTTATCAAAATTTTATTATGAGATTTCATTGGAATGTGTATTTCATTTTGATTCTAATAAGTTTGTGAAGTTAATAAGTATGGTCATATGGAGCATTCCACCACTATCGTCATGAACACTCCTTTTCTCAATTATAGGCTTATTCTGTTGATACCTAGGTTTCCTTTTTATTCCGTTGATACCCAAAATCAAATTAAAACAAGAAGAATATGACATTTGTCTTTTCTGTTTTTTTCACAAATTAATTTTAAGATATAATGATTTATGGTAGATTTGGTTAAGTGAAACGGATCATTTTTATTCAATAGCATATGACACATCATCGTTTACTAATGGATTAAAAATGGTATTTGACCATTTTACTAAATTAAGTTTGTGCGACAAACCGCATATTTTCTGGTACAAATTCTAATCCGTCACCTTTTAAACTATTAAGGATATGATAATAATAAAATAATATAAACTTTTTTATACATAACTGGTAATACTCTATATATTTTGCTATAAAATGATAAATATATAATGGTACGTCATAGTGTAGATTTAGTCGAATACCTAGTGCGACGAACGATTTCACCGCTGTAATGCTTGTGGGCAATCCTCTGACGTCGTCCATAACAATATATTATACTAAAAATATCTTCTCCACAATACTCGAGCTAATAGGAAGTCATGGTATTGTAATAATCTCTATAATTGTTTCGCAAGCTGGGAAAGGTTAAATTCAAGAATCGCTCGGTGAGACATAATGGGCAGAAATTGGATTATCTCTTAAGGTTTATCCTTTTTTTTTCGTATGAGACATATGCTTATTTAGTTCAAACTCGGGATGAGGCAAATGTTTATTTCGTTCAAACTTGTTAATGATGTCCGAAATTATCTAAGTATAAAAAGGTATGGTGAAGACATCAAGCCACCATCTCAACTGGAGCTAAC